CTATTTCAGGCCATGCACTGAGCCCAGTTTTAACAACAGCCGAGTGCCGCTGCCCAGAGCTATTCCCGGAAAGCTCGGAAGCAGAGGGTATAATCTGCGGGGGAAAGGACTGCGTCCCTCTAATTCCACTCCCCCCATGCCCACCCCCCTTTGCTGCACTGTATTTCAGCAGTCCCCCAAGCGTTATTTTAGTGCAGGACATGCCACCATGTCCGCATCTTTGGCGTTAGCACCCTGCAACGCTCCGCGTCCTGCGCAGGGGCAAGTGTTCACGGATCTCCTATGCCTGCCCTGGGTGCAGGCACGAGCCCTTTGGGGCTGCACAAACCCTGTCCCATCTGCTGCAGCTCCCCTCGGGCACTCCTTCGCTCAGCACCCTGCTCCCAAGGGCGGCGGAAGCACCCACGTGCTGACACCCAGAGCCATGACAGCCGTTTTCCTGTCAGAAGAGCATCCTCGTGACTGTCAGCCGGCATCCCACCGCCACGTACACCCCCGTCCCTCCTCCCCGTGGGTGCGATGACACCTGCTCTGCTGGCAGCACGGCCCTGCCACTGGCCAGGGCCGCCGCGGGAACAAAGTCCATCATCGGAGCTTGGCACCGGAGCAGCCCTCGGGGAGGCTGGATCTGCTGCAGGAGCAGTGACACGGAGGACAGCCAGGAACGGCTGGGGACCGGTCAGTGCCACAGGCATAGGCTTGATGCCTGTTGGCAGCACCCTGGGCTTTTTGGGGCACTCGGCACCTCACCTGGGCGAGGCACGATGTCAGCATGTCCTGCCCTGCAAACCTCATGCCAAGGGACACCGAAAACGGACTGGAAGCACTGTGACACATCAGGCAGGGATGCAGGGTGCTACAGGCGGCTCTTACCAGGGCATCAGGCGGCCAAAGCGGGTCCATGATGTTTTGCTGATGAAGAAGCCCACCATGGGGTCCGTGACGGCATCCCAGGCTCGCCCCACAAACAGGATGATGGAGGCATAGAAAGGGTCCAGCTGCCAGGAGAAGATCTTGGGTCAGGACACGCAACCCCCCCGTGCCCCCGGCTGCCCCTCCTGAGCTCCTCAGGACCTTCCCAACCTTATTGTGACCCCGCTGCCATTTAACGGGTCCCTCGGCCTCTCCCCCTTGTTCAGTGGGATTCGAGGCAGGGTGACCCAGTCCCTCCCACCACTGCCCCACCATGCTCTTCCCACACCAAACTCCTGCAGTCTCATCTCCCCAAAACCCACCCCACGGCCAGCACGCGGGTGCCCCACGGGCTCTCCTCCCTCCCCGTTTCACCCCGACCCGGAACGCTGTGGGTCCGTGGGACAGATCCTGTGCCAGCCCATTTCACAGCCCGGGGAAACCCGCAGCCTCCAGACCGACGGCCACGCAGGACCGCGACCCCTCCTCACCGACACTCACCCCTTCGCACCCCGAGCCTGGCCCCCCGGTCCCCCCCCACCCCCGCCCCCCCCCG